AAAATGAGTATGACTATTAGTAAGTCTTTGGAGGGAGGAAAAGTGTAGATTTATATGTAAAGTTTCCTTATTCTTTCAGAGTTTCTAAAAGGGATTGTAAATGCAGCTTTGCTTTTCATCCGTTGGAACTTTGCCATACATTCACCTGCGTCTACAACATACCTCTTGCATTGCACACACACACACACAGTCTTCGGTAATTGCCCGTTTGAAATGCACGGAACTTTGCATTGTTTGCAGCTATTACTTCTTCAGTGTTCTCTGAACGAATTCGAAAAGGATACATGTTCATTCCGCACCGCATAATTTAAAATCGCTGTCGAGACTGGCTAATCCCAGTTTCTTCTTTGCAGTTGGAAGGAAGGAAGGGTCATGCATACAGAAGTTTAAAGCCAGTCGAGACGTCGGCTTTAAACTTCGAAGCTATTCTTCTATTTCTTTTTTTTTGTTCTCTGGAGCAATAAAATATACATTTCTCGCTCGCTCGCGTTCTTCGGATATAAATTACGTTTCAGCCGTGAATTACGTTAATGTTCCGGGCCATTAACCGCTCTCCTCCTCCACCCTCGTTCGAAACCCGGCGCCTCCGCGTGAAACGCGTGGCTTTTAGCAGGCGACACGTTCGTATTAATATTAATTGGTATTTATGCGCTGCAGGTATTAGCTAACACCTGATCATAGTGCAGCTAACAGCCAGGGTATCAGATGAAATGGAAAGCCGACAGCAACAACACGACGGTTCAGTCTGCGTTTCGAGCTTTCAGGGTTATTGCACACCGCACGTACTCGACGCACGTACTGCAAACTACTCTACGTTGATTGCGACGAGTTTCTCGTAAAACTAAGGGTCAGAAGCAACATACATTTTCTGCAAATCATTCGTGTCTCTAGAAAGTGATACACTGTGAATCAAAAATACATGTCTTCAACTTTGATAGCTTATTGCAGAAAAGCTAATAAAGTTACAAATATGAATTTGTACAAGTTTTAAAGCTTAAACATTTAGCTTTAATTACATTGCTCATTGATGAATGTTCTAATTGTGGATTTTGAGAAATATAAGAAAACTTAAAGACACTGCTTTTTTCGAGGTTTCATAATTCGTTTCTTCAACTTTGACAGCTTATTACAGAAAAGCTAATAAAATTACAAATATGAATTTGTACACGTTTTAAAGCTTAAACATTTAGCTTTAATTACGTTACTCATTGATGAATGTTCTACTTGTGGATTTTGAGAAATATTAGAAAACGTAAAGACACTGCTTTTTCCGAGGTTTTTATAATTCGTTTCTTCAACTTTGACAGCTTATTGCAGAAAATCTAATAAAGTTACAAATATGAATTTGTACACGTTTTAAAGCTTAAACATTTAGCTTTAATAACATTACTCATTGAAGAATTTTCTACTTGTGGATTTTGAGAAATATAAGAAAACGTAAAGACACTGCTTTTTTCGAGGTTTCATAATTCGATTCTTCAACTTTGACAGCTTATTGCAGAAAATCTAATAAAGTCACAAATATGAATTCGTACACCTTTTAAAGCTTAAACATTTA